GTAGCAGCTAGAGGAGCACGATAGAAGATGTAAGAGTATTTTGAGAGGTTGATGAAAGAGAAAATAGTATTTGTTTCGTTTTTGATCAAGATGTTAAATATATTATTTTTAAGAAGATGTATGACTCTTTGTAAAGATTATATTTAGTTTTAAAGAAAAACGCAAATTTCCCAAGTCACGAAATAATGTGATTGATAAGGGGATGATAATGGGAATGATAAGTAAAAAAAGTATACTAGACAGGACACCCTTTGATTTCAAGAAAGAGTACCCTAAATTACTATTTATCCCGAAGTTGCTGAATGAAAAATACTGAGTATTTGATATGTATATTCTATATCCATGCTGGTGAAAGAGTAATTATGATATTGTATGAGTTTGGATTTTGTTCAGTCTCTATGGAGGAGGGTTAAAAAATTAGATCAATTTGTGCAATCTCTTGCCATTATTTCCTCTCTCTCCCCTAAAGTGACTGTCTAGACAAGGTTATTCGATGTGAAAGTTACAATGTTTTAAAGATAAGCCCTAAACTGCTTTTTTTTTGCCATTGTGATAGCAGACTACCAGAGAAGGTTAGACAGGAAGGTTATCCCTATAAACTCTTATGTGTACAAATTTCATAGTGATATATATAGATATCGAAAATAGGTAACTCAGCACCCGACTTTTTCTCTTCGTGGTGTTGAAAGAATTCGACATTGTAGTTAGTCTTTAACATTGCACTATGATCCATGATGTACATTAAATAATATTAAAATAGATTTTCCAACACAAATGGAATTATCAAATGAAATAATTGTTTTGTGAATTACATCTGTATTGCCAACAATGGAAGCTCAAAATGAGGGTTTTGCATTTTGAGACATCAATTTAAATGGTCTTTAAATGTTGTTGTTTAAAAAATATCTTAATTTCAATTAAATATATGCTGTTATGCACAATCGATAACTGCGGATAAATGAATCTTGAATATTTACGAAGAAGCTTTAAGTGATTTAAAAAAGATTTACCGTATAATAACTTGCTTTACTACTGAAAATGACAAATGAATCGTCATAACGATGAAAATGTAAATAACACAATACGAACAATGCAGTACATGCTATGGTATCATTAACGGCTACCTCATGTTAGACTATGCATAATGATAGCAATTTACCGATGACTGCACTACTGTCATTTTTGAAAAATATATTATTACACTCGGACTAATAATAAGATACAATGCCAGTAACGATTACTGTCTGTAAGGGAAGCAAAAAACATTGATTAAGATAGGCAAAAAATTACACATTTTAGGCCTTGTCACGTCCCTTAAGAGGACAATTTGGCCGTGTATGCATAGGCGAAACTAGAATGCTAATTGGGGAGTGGTGTAAATATTCATATTTTCAGTTCTGCCTTGCTGTTGATTTCTTTTCTTCGCGATGTTAAATTCAATAAAAATCAGCAGGGCAAAGCTGAATATATGAATATTCACTCCCCCCAATTAGCGTCCTAGTTTCTCCCCTGCAAGTATGTTGTCTATCGTCATCGTGACAAATCATGCAGGCGTTGTGGCCACAAACGAAACATCTAATTATAGAATGCTCGTCAATATCTTATTCTTTAATCGACCCCCTGACAAGGTTTCATTTTGATATGTCTAATTCCCTTACTCCCTAATTCCCTAAAGTTAACTTCATTCACTGAAAATATAACTGCGAAAATAACTGTTCTGTTTCAAATGCGTTTTTAATTTTTTATAGCCCATTTTTAAAACTTGATGATTCGTATTCAAAACAGCGCCCCCCAAAATCAACAGCTAGGGGGGCCCTTCCCCCCTGGCTCTTCCAGCCACTGATCCAAAATTCCTTGTTTTATTCTATAATTTGAAAAACCTCAATGAATAAAAAACTTTTTGTAAAACACTTGTGGTAAAGCAAATAATGGTAGAGTCCTGCATCCATCTTCTGTCAGAATTTTTAAGCCACTCTTTTAACTCATATTTAGAGTTGGAGAAGAAGAATGGGCTCTAATGGACCGACATGACTTCAAGAATAAAAAATGGAAGGCAAATTTTAGTTAAGAATTTTTGTGACGTTCAGGTTTTTGTAGTTAAATTGTAGAGAGTTTTTCTTTTTTCTGTCTTTTTTAGCAATAACTTATGAAGCAATAGAACACTTGAAATATAGAGTCATGACTTATCAGTACAAAACATTGAACTATTAAGGAAAGTCGCTAAATCTATCACCGCCAAAGATTTGCAAAAACATTCGGGGGAAACAGTTAGTTAGACTTTCAATTTATCTGACAGTAAAATTGCTGCAAATAAGAGACAATTTTAGGATAAGAAGTTTGTCACCAAGAAGCAATTTAGAAATAGCTTGCACACGAAAATCACACAGCAAAAAGCATATGGAACACATAGGGCTAAAATATGGCATATGCTAGTTAAGCAAAATTCCAGGAAATTTGGTTTTATCTTCCAAATTATTAGTTTTTATGAACAATATGTTTTTAAATGCTTTCTTTTCATAATCCTTTACAATATGTGGCTTTGATGGTTTAAAAAAGATGTAATTTAAAAATAAAAAGCTCAAAATAATTCGCGATTACGCTGCCAAGCATAAAACTCGATGTAGTGTTCATCGTAGAAACAAAGCTAACATGATACTTGTAATCTTGAGATATCTGAGTATAACATTGTTTATAAAAACAAAGCTTTTGGAGCACATGGTGGTTGTGTATATGTCTATAAATAAAAAATCCATTCAGTTTAGATTTCTTGACTAATTTAGTTCGACCACGTTTGAGGCTTTTTGGGTTAAAAATATGCCAATCAATCAGTTATAAACTAATTAATTAATTCAATTACAGCAATTTACATCATTATATTCTTGGTGTGAAGTCGTTTTGAATTGTGCTTTTGATAGACTTAACTTTTGCTATCTTACGGGTCAATACTGACTACCAGAAACAGCTTGAAATATACCTAAATGATGCAATCAAACATCGGACATGATCTTAACAAATCTTTATAGTTTCTACAATAAGAATTCTATATCAGCTTTTCTTCATTTAATTTACCAGAATATAATGTAAAGTTATCTTATCAAAGCGTGTGATTTAATTTTCCCAACATTTAAGCCAACGAACTCCTATTTTGTCTTATTCAACTTAAACCAGCAAATGAAACATAAGTTCTACAATCTGATATTGTGAATTTTCATGTATAAGACCAACTCTTAATTATTGAGCTAAGGTTTTTTTTAACTCAGAAAATACCAAGAAAACGGTAATAAAATTCAAACATGTTGATAAAAACAATAAAAATCATAAAGCCGTATCTTTGCTTTACATTACAAGAAGCTTTTTATGTTTTAAATTAAGTTGCACAAAATAATTTGCCACGTATCAACTCAAAGGACAAAAACATTTGATGCTTAACTTTTTAGAACGTTAAGTGATTTGAAAGATCGAATGTTCAATGTTTTGAGCCATCAACTAGTAAAGGTTTGTAAGACTAAAGATAAAGAATTATCGTGTGTGTAAACGATGTACGAATGACATCTTATATAAAAGTTGTTCGTCATAATTAATTAATAAACTTTTGATAAATATTGGTCGTACCCAAGTACTATAAATTATACATCATAAATACCCGTAATACTTTGCAATCATGTAATTGTACACAAATCAATCCAAGCTACAAATACAAACATATTAAGTGCTCACCATAAAATCACTGCCATTGATTTAAAATAAGGCGTGTTTATCATGATGTGTTTAATTGCAATTTAATTTATGTTTATAAAAAGTGCTTTTTGCCTTTTAGCAACGTTATCATTTTGGAAATGTAGCTTTTTCAAATGTTTATCAATAAACCATTTATACTAAAGATTTCAACAAGCACAATTTAGACGTTCATGACATATAAATGTGCAATGATATTGTGTTATTTAACGGGCAAGAGTACCACTAGTATAAAAATAAAACTGACATATCGAGCTGTAGTTTTTTACCAATCGCTCCCAAAGTACCTTAAACATGGTATAATGTAATATAATTTACAATTCTCATTTCTATTGATGAATTCGATCCAAATTAAATTCAAACTTATAAGTAAAAGCAGTAAGAATCATAAGGCCGTATCTTTGTTTTTACATAACAATAAGCTTTTAATGTCTTGAATTAAGTTGCAAAAATTATTTGCCACGTATCAACTCAAAGGACGCAACCATTTCACGCTTCAAGTTTTAGAACGTTAAGTGATTTAAAAGATCAAGTGTTCAAAGTTTGGAGCCATTAACAAGTAAAAGGTTTGTAAGACAAAAGATAAAGAATTATCGTGTGTGTTAACGATGTATAAATGAGATCTTAAATAAAAATTGCTCGATATATTTAATTGATAAACTTTTGATAATTATAGGTCACACCCAAGTACTATAAAATATACATCATAGATACCCGTAGCACTTTGCAATTCTGTAATTGTACACAAATCAAACCAAGTTACAAATACAACATATTAACTGCTTACCAAGAAAATCACTGCCATTCATCTAAAATAAGACGTGTTTATCATGATGTGTTCAATTGTAATCTAATTTAGGTTTATAAAATATGGTTTTGCCTTTTAGCAAAGTTATTATTTTAGAAATGTACCTTTTTCAAATGTTTATCAATAAACCATTTATACTAAAGATGTCAACAAGCACAATTTAGATGTTCATGACATATAATTATGCAATGATATTGTGTTCTTCAACGGGCAAGAGTACCGCTAAAATAAAAATGAAACTGACATATCGAGCTGTAGTTTTTACCAATCACTCCCAAAGTACCTTAAACATGGTATAATGTAATATAATTTACAATTCTTATTTCTATTGATGAATTCGATCCAAATTAAATTCAAACGTATAAGTAAAAGCAGTAAGAATCATAAGGCCTTAGCTTTGTTTTTACATAACAATAAGCTTTTAATATTTTAAATTAAGTTGCACAACATTATTTGCCACGTATCAACTCAAAGGACGCAACCATTTGACGCTTAAATTTTCACAACGTTAAGTGATTTAAAAGATCGATTTTTCAAAGTTTTGAGTCATCAACTAGTAAAAGGTTTGTAACACTAAAGATAAGAATTATCGTGTGTGTTAACGATGTATAAATGAGATCTTAAATAAAAATTGCTCGTTATATTTAATTGATAAACTTTTGATAATTATAGGTCACACCCAAGTACTATAAAATATACATCATAGATACCCGTAGCACTTTGCAATTCTGTAATTGTACACCAATCAAACCAAGTTACAAATACAACATATTAACTGCTTACCAAGAAAATCACTGCCATTCATCTAAAATAAGACGTGTTTATCATGATGTGTTCAATTGTAATCTAATTTAGGTTTATAAAATATGGTTTTGCCTTTTAGCAAAGTTATTATTTTGGAAATGTAGCTTTTTCAAATGTTTATCAATAAACCATTTATACTAAAGATGTCAACAAGCACAATTTATATGTTCATTAAATATAATTATGCAATGATATTGTGTTCTTCAACGGGCAAGAGTACCGCTAAAATAAAAATGAAACTGACATATCGAGCTGTAGTTTTTACCAATCACTCCCAAAGTACCTTAAACATGGTATAATGTAATACAATTTACAATTGTCATTTCTGTTGATGAATTCGATCCAAATTAAATTCAAACGTATAAGTAAAAGCAGTAAGAATCATAAGGCCGTATCTTTTTTTTTACATAACAATAAGCTTTTAATATTTTAAATTAAGTTGCACAAAATTATTTGCCACGTATCAACTCAAAGGACGCAACCATTTGACGCTTAACTTTTCACAACATTAAGTGATTTAAAAGATCGATTTTTCAAAGTTTTGAGTCATCAACTAGTAAAAGGTTTGTAACACTAAAGATAAAGAATTATCGTGTGTGTTAACGATGTGTAAATGAGATCTTAAATAAAAATTGCTCGTTATATTTAATTGATAAACTTTTGATAATTATAGGTCACACCCAAGTACTATAAAATATACATCATAGATACCCGTAGCACTTTGCAATTCTGTAATTGTACACCAATCAAACCAAGTTACAAATACAACATATTAACTGCTTACCAAGAAAATCACTGCCATTCATCTAAAATAAGACGTGTTTATCATGATGTGTTCAATTGTAATCTAATTTAGGTTTATAAAATATGGTTTTGCCTTTTAGCAAAGTTATTATTTTGGAAATGTAGCTTTTTCAAATGTTTATCAATAAACCATTTATACTAAAGATGTCAACAAGCACAATTTAGATGTTCATGACATATAATTATGCAATGATATTGTGTTCTTCAACGGGCAAGAGTACCACTAGTATAAAAATAAAACTGACATATCGAGCTGTAGTTTTTACCAATCACTCCCAAAGTACCTTAAACATGGTATAATGTAATATAATTTACAATTCTTATTTCTATTGATGAATTCGATCTAAATTAAATTCAAACTTATAAGTAAAAGCAGTAAGAATCATAAGGCCGTATCTTTGTTTTTACATAACAATAAGCTTTTGATGTCTTGAATTAAGTTGCAAAAATTATTTGCCACGTATCAACTGAAAGGACGCAACCATTTGACGCTTAAATTTTTAGAACGTTAAGTGATTTAAAAGATCAAGTGTTCAAAGTTTGGAGCCATCAACAAGTAAAAGGTTTGTAACACTAAAGATAAAGAATTATCGTGTGTGTTAATGATGTATAAATGAGATCTTAAATAAAAATTGCTCGTTATATTTAATTGATAAACTTTTGATAATTATAGGTCACACCCAAGTACTATAAAATATACATCATAGATACCCGTAGCACTTTGCAATTCTGTAATTGTACACCAATCAAACCAAGTTACAAATACAACATATTAACTGCTTACCAAGAAAATCACTGCCATTCATCTATAATAAGACGTGTTTATCATGATGTGTTCAATTGTAATCTAATTTAGGTTTATAAAATATGGTTTTGCCTTTTAGCAAAGTTATTATTTTGGAAATGTAGCTTTTTCAAATGTTTATCAATAAACCATTTATACTAAAGATGTCAACAAGCACAATTTAGATGTTCATGACATATAATTATGCAATGATATTGTGTTCTTCAACGGGCAAGAGTACCGCTAAAATAAAAATGAAACTGACATATCGAGCTGTAGTTTTTACCAATCACTCCCAAAGTACCTTAAACATGGTATAATGTAATATAATTTACAATTCTTATTTCTATTGATGAATTCGATCTAAATTAAATTCAAACTTATAAGTAAAAGCAGTAAGAATCATAAGGCCGTATCTTTGTTTTTACATAACAATAAGCTTTTGATGTCTTGAATTAAGTTGCAAAAATTATTTGCCACGTATCAACTGAAAGGACGCAACCATTTGACGCTTAAATTTTTAGAACGTTAAGTGATTTAAAAGATCAAGTGTTCAAAGTTTGGAGCCATCAACAAGTAAAAGGTTTGTAACACTAAAGATAAAGAATTATCGTGTGTGTTAATGATGTATAAATGAGATCTTAAATAAAAATTGCTCGTTATATTTAATTGATAAACTTTTGATAATTATAGGTCACACCCAAGTACTATAAAATATACATCATAGATACCCGTAGCACTTTGCAATTCTGTAATTGTACACCAATCAAACCAAGTTACAAATACAACATATTAACTGCTTACCAAGAAAATCACTGCCATTCATCTATAATAAGACGTGTTTATCATGATGTGTTCAATTGTAATCTAATTTAGGTTTATAAAATATGGTTTTGCCTTTTAGCAAAGTTATTATTTTGGAAATGTAGCTTTTTCAAATGTTTATCAATAAACCATTTATACTAAAGATGTCAACAAGCACAATTTAGATGTTCATGACATATAATTATGCAATGATATTGTGTTCTTCAACGGGCAAGAGTACCGCTAAAATAAAAATGAAACTGACATATCGAGCTGTAGTTTTTACCAATCACTCCCAAAGTACCTTAAACATGGTATAATGTAATATAATTTACAATTCTCTTTTCTGTTGATGAATTCGATCCAAATTAAATTCAAACGTATAAGTAAAAGCAGTAAGAATCATAAGGCCGTATCTTTGTTTTTACATAACAATAAGCTTTTAATGTTTTAAATTAAGTTGCACAAAATTATTTGCCACGTATCAACTCAAAGGACGCAACCATTTGACGCTTAATTTTTCACAACGATAAGTGATTTAAAAGATCGATTATTCAAAGTTTTGAGTCATCAACTAGTAAAAGGTTTGTAGCACTAAAGATAAAGAATTATCGTGTGTGTTAACGATCTGTAAATGAGATCTTAAATAAAAATTGTTCGTCATATTTAATTGATAAATTTTTGATAGTTATTGGTCACACCCAAGTTCTATAAAATATACATCATAGATACCCGTAGCAACTTGTGATCCTGTAGTTGTACACCAGATAAACAAAGTTACAACTACAAACAATTTGCTTAACAAAAATCTAACTCATCTAAAGGAAAGCGTGTTTATCATGATGTGCTTGCTTGCCAAAAAATTCAAACTGCTTGCTAGCATGGAATTATATTTTTCTTTGTCCGGATGGTATATTTATAAAAAGTGTTATTTCATTTTACACCTTATGGCTTGTGTTATTATTGAAGGAAATTTATGACTCACTTTTTACTTTTGAAATTGCAAATGGACTCATGTATGTAATCATTGAATATTTTAGATATTTAAGTCTTTTTAGAAGTAGAAATATTGATCAGTAAGTGTGTTATCTTTGTTATAATGTAGTTTGTAAATCCACATTTTAAATGCGGCTAAAGAATTTGCTAACTTTTTTAACGTTACACTTGTCTTTCGTCAAGCTTTGGTTGCAAAGGTTCATGTATGCAATTCATCGCATTATAGTTACAATAAATTTAAAAGCAGATATGCTTATAGCAATATATTAATTCGTTTTAACTCTCCCACTTTATGGTCATACTTCCAAAATATCTTAAAAACGGTATAATTTAGTAAAAGTTATACATATTTCCATTGATTAATTTGTTCCAAATTATAATCAAACGTATGAACAAAAACGATATAAATCATAAAACCATATCTTTGCTTTAAATAACAATCTGTTCTTATAATGTTTTAAATTCCGTGGCACAAAATAATTTTCCACACATCGACTCGAAGGAGGAATATATGATGTTTAAGTTTCCAGAACTTTAAAACTTTCTAAAAGTTTAACTGTTCAAGGCTACACGCCGTTAACCAGTAAAAGGTTTGTAAGACAAAAAAACATAAAATTTTCATGCTTGATTACGACGTATAAATGTGACCCATGGAAGGTTGTGGGAAATTTGAAAATTCTGAGAAATTGCAATTAGTCCGTCACATAAGGTTGACTGTTCACCCAAAACATCACAACTACTTTTATGTGCAGATTTGCATAAGCTATTCTCCTGACGAAAAAGTTATTGCTGTTACCATAGCTTGTTCAATTGATTACATTGTTAAGACGTTCATTACTATCTCGCGTCCTGGTGAAATTCGTTATACGTTGGTTACATTCTGTTTGTATTGTCAAATACAATGCTACTGATAATTGTTATATTGCACACCTCGCATATACTTACAGAATTTAATAGTCTAGTGAAATGCCTAATAAATATTAATGGCATAAAGCTTTCCTTAATTGCAAATTTTCAATATGACAATTTTTGCTTATCTTTGGCAGAAAAAATTTTGAGTTTTTTTCACAAAAGGTGAATTTGCTGTCACTGTATGTGGAGATAGATAAAGGGTTACAATAAACTTCCATGGATTGAAGTCTGAGGTTTTTTATATCTATGAACTGTCCCTTGTAGTACCAAATTTCTAACTTAACTCATTACATAGAGGTTTGAATGGTGGTCTCTAGGGGGGTCTATGTCTGACAACTTGGTAGAAATTTTTAAAGACATTATCTTTTTTGGAATAGCATTATTTTAAAACAAATTTTACGTTCCTAGACATGCTAATGAGCCATATATTTGGCATGATAATGAGCCTAAATATTTGGCAAAACATTCAAGTATTGTTCACTTCAGGTGTTTTTTGAATAAAAACGTAAGTAAAATGTGTTGTTTTTACGTAAAAATGATGCCCACAAAATGCATTTTGTATTGCTCTAAAACGGTGAAAACGGCATTTCCAAGTCTCTGAAATCCAAAATTTCCAAGGGGAGAATGCTTTGGCACCCCTAGGTGTTGAGCGCCTCAGACGTTTCATGACTGATGTTTGAAAAATCCTAGATCCGACCCCCTGGGTGCACTAAAACAGACTTACTTTCACTCGGTTTACTATGAAACTTAAGTGTCTTTGTTTTTCTTGAAATACATCCCAAGTTTTTCTGATATGTAAATTAGAGAGCGTATGTACCTTCATGTTCTAATTGACATATCTTAAAATCATGTTTTACTTAATTAGTGCACTACAAAACAGCTTGGATTTTTCTGAACTTTTTTATTGTTGTATAAACTGATCACCTAACTAATAGAAAGCAACATTGTTTATTTTTGTCTAAAATAAATGCAATTAACGAATATGTTAATCACCAACTGACTGAACATACCCTCCCTAATTTATATATTACAAAGTTTCAATACATCCAAAATTAAGCATGCAAATATTAATGACAAAAAATAGTTTGTGACACTATTTCGTTACATAGGCACTTAAAGTCGTCGTTTTAGATTCGCGTATGCTTTATAATGAATATTACCATAATTTGCCAAGTAAGGAACAAATTCATTTCTTTATCACAATCTTTCTGCGTCCATGTTCTCTGTCATAATTTTTGTTATCAATTTGAGCTAAATCAGATTTGCACTAGCTTCTCCTCCCCACCTTCTCACCGGTAATTAAAGTACTTTCCAGGAGTTGCACTGTAATAGTTGTCTTTAAGAAAAAAAAACATGGTTTGTGTGGAACCTTTTTGATATCTTCTAAAATCATCTATTATACTGCAGTCTCTCTCAAGCCATGAGCTTCGCGCTTTTTTCTCGCAAAAAGATACTCGTGCTCTTTACCAAGCGTGCTTAAAAAGTCAATAAACAATCAAAATTTTTCTGGTTTTACTTTCATTTTATAAATAAGAGTGTATTATATATCTTATAATTTACGCTTATCTCTTTGTTCCTCTCAAAAAGCTGGTAAAACGTCGGGTTTTCAAACTAAGCCAGCAGATTATCTTAAAGTATATGTTTTACCTGGTTTCAATAATTTAGGTAAAACTATAGACATACGTATGTATCATTGCAATTTTTCAAAGTATGTTCGGTAATTATCATTTTTCGTTCTTTAACTAATTTTTGATAAAAATTCTAAAAATGAAACCTGAAATTAACAACGTTGACAATCATATAATGAAGACATTTTAAAAAAGTCAATCATTTTTTTCAATTTTCAAACTGATACAAGTTACTCAAATACATAAAAAGAGTACTAGCTAGTGGCGCTGCCAACGCGTTAATTAAAGGGATGTATTCATCTATGCAAGTTTAGTCGTATTGACGTCATTTGAAATTAATTGTTTCCACGAATTACAACACACATCTATGAGTACTCTCCCTCTGTGGCCGAACAAGTGTCAAATTTATCGCTGGAAAGACGCGGCTGGCAAAAATGTTTCCGAGCAAATCAAAGTGCTCCATTTCATAGGAAGTAAAGGTTTCCATTTAATAATTAATAGTTATTTGAGGAGATTTAGCTTGATATTAAGAAGTATTCAGACTCAGATCTGAATGATTCTTGACATCATCATGCAAAAGATAAATTCATTAATTGTTTTTTATACCAGTAGATCGCCTGCAGCTATAGTTCTTGAAGTAATCGGAGCTCTTACCCTTTGTCAATTAGTTTCCAGTCCATGAAAGTAAACCGGGCGCGCGCTTGTTAACTGTGAACTGGGGAAAAGTTAAGTGAAAGAAAATGATGAATGGGAATTGAAATAGATGAAAATGGCGATAAACATGGCGGGTGTCTTTCTCAAAAAGATTCTTTCTCAAAAATAACTTAGAAGGAAACATATCGACCCTGAAAGACTTTGCAGCTCAAGCGGTTTTCTCAAACCTTTACCAGACTTTGAAAAATGAAGGACTTAAGATATCTTCAGAGATTATAACAGAAAAAGTATTGATTTGGATCTGTTTTTGTGTCAAACCAGAAGCGAACATGGGTAAGGTGTTGGCATCATGTTTCTCATCTTTTATCTTTAAAGTTGGTTTCAGTGGAAAGTGGTACGGACGAGACCACAGATTGCTAATTGCCAATAAACAGGCATTAAGATAAAAGTGTAAAGATGTACTATGGCATTCAAACAACAATGGCTATCATATGGTTGGAGTAAGCTGGAGAACATTAATAATAGACTAAATGCAAGACTTTGAACAAAGGCATCTGTATGCAGCTCAATTATTTAAATCTCAAATTGA